TATTCCATTTTGATTTATCACATCAGAATGGCCCCTACTCTGTACATAGGATTACTGGATTGAATTGAAACTGTGAATTATGATTCAGTTTATACTTTTTGTGTAGACATCACCTGAAAGTTATTTAAACTTCTGTCATTATCCGTAGAGAAGCATTTTATGTCATTCTCACCTATGTGTAAGTTCACAGGGAGACTTCCCTGCTGAAAAGCATTTCTTGTGATCTAGGCTTTCTAAGTTTCTCTGTGTGATTTCTCTCTATGCACAACTTCCACTCTGCAGGGAATATTATTTACCCAATATTCTTTCCTCTACCTCAAAGTTGCAAGCGCTCTCAAGGAACTCACTAACAAGATATAGACATAACATTTATCATCTCATATGTGTTTTGCTTTTCTTTGAACCCCTTTCCCCTTAAACTCAAAGTCTACAACAAATCTTAGTCTTTAAAGGCCCATAACAAAGAAAAGAAAACTAAAAATGAGAAAATCGCACAACCCAATTGGCGTTCTTCCTTTGAGCTCTGTGGGATTCTCTATTTCCCAAGACATTGGATCCCAAAGAACAGCAATTTTGGCTGTTCCTTCTCTGGGTAGTTTGCCTGCTGCAGAGTCCATTAAGGAGAGAGAGAGAGAGAGAGAGAGAGAGAGAGAAATGGTAAAGTCTAGGCTGCTGTCACTGTGTGTTCTTGTTATTTTGGAGGGCAGCATTTCGTGGACATTTTTGTGCCAAGCCATGAAGAGTTGCCGTGTGCAGCAGAGGCGACTGTGTCTGGAGACTTAAGGGACATATCCTATAAAGGAGACAAAAGCAGGGAGAATAATTCTTACCCCCAAAATCTAATAAAAATTACAGAAAATGTATTACTACTTTGACATAATCTATCCTTTGTTCCTAATTGTCCCTACCAAATTTTGTCAAAGTTATTGGAGAGTGAGTTTTAGATATTGATTAAATATACAACTATTCGGCCGGCGCTCAATAGGCTAATCCTCTGCCTGTGGCGCCAGCACTCTAGGTTCTAGTCCCGGTTGGGGCACCAGATTCTGTCCTGGTCGCTCTCTTCCATTCCAGCTCTCTGCTGTGGCCCGGGAGTGCAGTGGAGGATGGCCCAAGTGCTTGGGCCCTGCACCCGCATGGGGGACCAGAAGAGCACCTGGCTCCTGGCTTCGGATCAGCGCAGTATGCCGGTCGCAGTGCGCCGGCCACAGCGGCCATTGTGGGGTGAACCAACAGAAAAAGGAAGACCTTCTCTCTGTCTCTCTCTCTCACTGTCCACTCTTCCTGTCCAAAAAAAATTACAATATTCTATTGTAATGCTGCAACTCATAGATCATTTGAGAGGTCAAAGGGACACATGTGTGTCACCTCTTTGTGTAATTAATTAAAACATTCTTACATATGAACGAAAAGTAGAAATAAACTGTTAGCACAAATAAACACTCTTGCTTCCATTCCTACCATTTCTATCACCCAAATACAAAAATAAGGAGAATTTTTTAGGTAAAGTATTAAGTGCCATTGGAGAAACTGGCCAACTCTTCAGGCCCAGAACGTTTTTGCAGGGATTTTCTTACACTTCGTTTCCTGTTTCTCCCCTGTTTTGTTTAATCAGAACTCCAATTTCTCTGCTACATTCATTCTTACTCTACATATTCTTATGCCTGAAAGTCTGTCACATCATTGCCTTTATATTGAACTATTGGCCTATTTTTTTAAGTCAATGGCTTGACTAAACCAGACAATTCATCAATTTGTATAATGATAGCTAGTCTCCAGAAGAGTTCAAGACCATGGGGGTAGTGAAAGGTTGGAGTGAGTACTAAGTGGCCTTCCTTCTCCTGAGACCACACAGTGAGTTTTGACGTATAAGTTGCAACTGCTTGGCGAAGACATCTGACCAGGATGGACACAGCTCTCACACATTTTAAAATACTTATTTAGTTTGTAGGCAAAAATATACTTTTCCACAAGGTAGCCTCCAGAGGACAGAAATCATTTCTTTGTCTATAGACAATATTAATTCACAGAATTATCAGTTACCTACAACTTAACAGAGTTACAAAACAGTTTTTGAAAATCAGAACAGGTAACCTGGGAGCATGCTATGGATAATGAACAGATTTCCATCAAAGTATGGACATTGTCCTGAAAACATTAGGGTGATGATATATTAAAAACGTACACAGCAAACTCAGATGTATAAAAGACAGAGTGAAACTTGTATTTCTCAGCAATTGCTCAGACTTTATAGCTTTTGATGTCAGAATAGTAGTATTTCCACCTGCAAAAACTGGAGAAAGGATAGATCATGAGAAAGTTGATGATGATTTGGGATTTGTTCTTTTAAGAATTTTTCCTTACTTATTTTATTGTATTTGAAACAGAGAGAGAGAGAGAGAGAGAGAGAGAGAGAGAGAATAGAGAATTTCCATCAACAGAGGCACAGCCCACGAGAGCTGGCCCTTGGCCAGTCAAAAGCCAGAGACCCCTAAATCAGTCTGTGTCTCCCATGTGGGCAGCCAGCACTCAATATTGGAGCCATCACCTACCTGCTCTTCCTAGGGTGCACGTTAGCTGTAAGCTGGAACTGAAGCAGAGCCAGGACTCACTCAAGCACTCTATGTGAGATGAAGAAGCACTGGGTGAGCCCCAGATGCCTGCTTCAGACTGGGAGGTTGTGTTACCTACCTAGATGGCACTCATTTATGGCCTGGAACATTTCATGCTTAAGTTGACTTTGCATAACTGATCTGAGAAAAACAGAACCGTATGAGGGGCAACTATGAATGCCGCATCTTCACATAAATCATTAGGTCATTTTTCCTCTGGCCTGTGGCCTGGAGTACATGTACAGAATTTTATAGCACCCTTTCTTCTTTGAAACCACTGCCTCAGGTTTTGGCTTTTGTGGGTATTTGCCCAATCTGTCTGGTGGAGTTCATCCAATTCTGAGAACAAGCGAGGAGGCTGACTTCACATTTGTTGTTCGGTTGCCTCATAGTTCCTCATCTCTTTGGCTGTGGAAGTCTGGCCTGAAGATACCAGTAGGGAAAGGAGATCACCATTCTTTCCAAATAGCGTCATTTTCTAAACGACTATTGACATTGTGAAGCTATTCGAGCTAACCTATTAAAACATGAAAAAGGCCGTCGAGTGGCTTGCTAAATTTGCAGCAATGCTCCATCAGGAGATTGGGAGGCTGCCTTCAGAATAATACACAGCTTTGACAGGGAACACAGGGACTCTGAATTCATACACCCAGGAAGAGCAAGGTGCACTCAGAACACCGGATCTTAGGATGTGCTTGCTCAGAATTAATAAACTTAAAGATGTTAAAGGAAAAGGTAGCTGTTTCTACTTAGCTTTGTGTTATCATAATTTAGTGTATTTTCTCTGTTTTATTCACAAATATAATGTTTCTCTTTGCCTTTCCATTGATGTATTTCTTTTAGCAAAAAAGAACATAAATTAATATAAGCTGCAAGAGAAATATAATCACATGATTTATTTGAATTTTGGTTACTATCCTAAGCAATGCTGCCTAAGATCCACTTTCCCTGATGTACATTTATGTACAACTTCTTTATAAGACTTACAGAAAAATGTTTTTAAAATGGTAGTTTTTTCTTATAAGAGTTATTCTAATATTTTTGTGGAAGAAAAAAATGAAATTCGTTGTTTTCATTTATCCCATTGTGATGGTTTTCATGGCTTGAAGTTTGGGTAAAATGCAACGAAAATCTAATGGAACGCTTGAGGAAAACAATATATTTGAGTCATTAGGACATCAGATATAGATATGAGAAAACTATTGATACTTTGAGGATGAAAGGCAACGTCTGCCCTTTGAAGGTCAATAATCTGATTCTATAAAAGAACTGAACCAGAGAAAAGACATACAAACTTATTAATGTGCAAGTGCACAAGTCACAGAATGAGTAACACTCATCCAGAAAGCCGCAGCTGGAACACCCTCTTACTAGGGGACTAGCTATTGTGGAGGAAGAGTAAATAATTTGAGAGATTGATTAAAGAGTGGAAGAACACACTGTATCCTGGGAAAATTCCTGTGGGCCCTTGGGGAGGTGAAGATAAGTGATTTATGGCGACAGTGGCTGCCTTGGGATGCAAGTAGCCTTCTAAGCTAACCACCCCTAGAAGAGCAGATGAGAAGTCCGTCCAGCTGACTGTGTGACTGGCCCTTACTTTCTGCTGCAGTGGTTGATCTTGCTGGTTAATGGCATCTCTGAGAAGTGATCGGGGCAATGGCACTCCTTCTGGAAGAACTTCCCTTACTCATATAAAGGGACTTCAGGGGAAGCCGCTTCCTGAGCTCTGGGCGAGGAGAACTGATGCTGGGCAAGAGGTTCTGAGGATGGTCGGGAGGGTTGGGAGAAGCGGGAGTTCAGATCACCCTTAGGTTGTGTCTAGAGTGGAGACTGCTGTGGGCTAAGTTAGATCAAAATTTATATTTCGGGCTCTTGCCTCTTACTTAGAGAAGAATCCGAAGCACAGGCTCAAACACGACATGCAGCATGACAAAGTTCAGAAGTTGTGTAGAAAACGAGAAGAATCCACAGGACCGTGAGGGCTTTATTAAGGGAGAGTGGGCAAGCAGGCTAAACAGGGCTCTCCGTACCAGTCCCTCCCCAGTCCACGAGGAGAGAGGGGAGCAGTCCAGAGAGCCCAAGTGAGTGAGCAGGCTGCAAGCCAGAGGGGCTGCAGGCTAGAGAGAGGGGCAGGAGCAGTGGCATGGGAGTGGGCAGGTCCAGCGCTCTGCAGGCCTTTTATTCACTTCCAAAAAGGGAGTGGCTACATAGTCTGATTGACAGACCTGGAGGCAAGGAGGGGAGGTGGCCTCCAGCTCATGAACCTAATCTACCTATCTGACCAGTCCCATATCAACAGCATTTTTTTGAGCTCTAGCAATACAATGCAAATTAAGTGTCTTTGTTTCTGCATCAGTATATTCTATAAATTTGAAATTTATTTTTCAGAGATTTTTCTTTGGTGAAGATGTCAATACTGTAGTGCATGAAGACCATTTTATAATGCAGTGATATCCATGTTGTGATCTTCACCTACTTACGGTTCCTGGAAAGCCCATATACCTGATACTTGTATTGTTTCTCAAAAGCATCCTCCTGCTAGACAACACAACTATTGATGAAAGCAATAAAATAACAAAACTATAAACAAGACTAAACAACGTGAGACTGAATGTCTTTTAACATTATTATAAAATATTTTAGAAATTATTACAATAACATTTATCAATTGTCTAAAAGTAGAACAGTAGACGGAGAACCCCAGATCGAGATTTACTTCTTGGAGGCTCTGTGTTTGTGCTTCAGAGTGGAGACACAAGAACACAGAGGTGCCCAAGACTTCTGAAGCTTGAATCACTAATTTGATATACCTTTTTTTTTTAACAGGCAGAGTGGACAGTGAGAGAGAGACAGAGAGAAAGGTCTTCCTTTGCCGTTGGTTCACCCTCCAATGGCCGCCGCGGCCAGTGTGCTGTGGCCAGCGCACCACGCTGATCTGAAGGCAGGAGCCAGGTGCTTCTCCTGGTCTCCCATGGGGTGCAGGGCCCAAGCACTTGGGTCATTCTCCACTGCACTCCCTGGCCACAGCAGAGAGCTGGCCTGGAAGAGGGGCAACCAGGACAGAATCCGGCGCCCCGACCAGGACTAGAACCTGGTGTGCCGGCGCTGCTAGGTGGAGGATTAGCTTATTGAGCCGTGGCGCTGGCCTAATTTGATATACCCTTAATAATAGAAATTTATATTCCAAAGGGTAAGAACCTAGGATCCTTCCCTTTAGTATACAGGGAAATTATTTAAACTAGGGACAAAATATCCTTCTCCTTATTTGAGGATGGGAGTAGGGGCAGCTGGCCACCTGCTTTCAGATCTTTGCTACTCCTTGCCCACAGTGCAAACTCCAGTGCACAAGAGCAGCCTCTTGCTTTGTTCTCATTATGAAGGGGGATGTTTGGACTCAGGGAACCAGGATGGCCATTGGATTTATGAAACAGAATTATTCTATGATCCCAAAACCATGTGACTGGGGCCAGGGTCATGGTGAAGCAGGTCGAGCCACCGCCTGCGACAGTGGCATCCCTGTAAGTATCATGTTTCAGATGCTTGCCAGCCAATCCACCTTCCTGTATACAGCCTGGGGAAAAGCAGTTAGAGGTGGCCCAAGTGCTTGGGCTCCTGCCACCCACACGGGGGACCTGTAAGAAGCTCTGGCTCCTGGCTTTGGCCTGGCTCAGGCCTGGCTGTTGTAGGCATCTGATGAGTTAACCAGAAGATGGAAGATTTCTCGCTCCTTCTCTCCCTCGTTTTCTGTATCTCTGACTTACAAATAAGCAAATATTTAAAAAAGTAACTGCATTTATGATATTAATAAATATAGATATTGAAAAGTTCTCTCCTCCCTTCAGAGAAAGGTACCTCCTTCTTTGATGACCCATTCTTTCCACTGGGATCTCACTCACGGAGATCTTTCATTTAGGTTTTTTTTTTTTTTTCCCCAGAGTGTCTTGGCTTTCCATGCCTGAAATACTCTCATGGGCTTTTCAGCTGGATCCGCATGCCTTAAGGGCTGATTCTGAGGCCAGAGTGCTGTTTAGGACATCTGCCATTCTATGAGTCTGCTGAGTATCTCACTTCCCATGTTGGATCATTCTCCCTTTTTTATTCTATCAGCTAGTATTTGCAGACACTATTCTTGTTTATGTGATCCCTTTGGTTCTTAGTCCTATCATTATGATCAATTGTGAACAGAAATTGATCACTGGGACTAGTGAGATGGCATTGGTACATGCCACCTTGATGGGATTGAATTGGAATCCCCTGGTATGTTTCTAACTCTACCATTTGAGGTAAGTCAGCTTGAGCATGTCCCAAATTGTACATCTCTTCCCTCTCTTATTCCCACTCTTATATTTAACAGCGATCACTTTTCAGTTAAGTTTCAGCACTTAAGAAGAATTGTGTATTGATTACAGTATTCAACCAAAAGTATTTAAAAAAAAAAACTAAATGAAAGATCTCCACGAGTGAGATCCCAGTGAAAAGAATGGGTCATCAAAGAAGGAGGTACCTTTCTCTGAAGGGAGGAGAGAACTCCCACTTTGACCATGGCCTTGTCTAAATATGATCAGAGTCAGTGAACTCAGGGGGCTTCCATAGCCTTGGCAGCTCATGACAAGAGCCTAGGGTGATTACTGATGCCATAAACAGGCGGCCATTGGAGGGTGAACCAACGGCAAAGGAAGACCTTTCTCTCTGTCTCTCTCTCTCACTGTCCACTCTGCCTGTCAAAAAAAAAAAAAAAAAGGAGTGTCAATTTGTAAAGTCAACAACAGGAGTCACTGTGCACTTACTCCTCATGTAGGATCTTTGTCCTTAGTGTGCTGTACATTGAGATTTAATGCTATAACTAGTACTCAAACAGGATTTTTCACTTTATGTTTCTGTGTGGGATCAAACTGTTGAAATCTTTACTTAATGTATGCTAAACTGATCTTTTGTATATAAAGAGAATCGAAAATGAATCTTGATGTGAATGGAAGGGGAGAGGGAGTGGATAAGGGGAGGGTTGTAGGGGAGGGACGTTATGGGGGGAAGCCATTGTAATCCATATTCTGTACTTTGGAAATTTATATTCATTAAATAAAAGTTTAAAAAATAAAAAAGAAAGTTCACACACAGAATCTGAAACAATTATTTTAATCTGTAAGTATTGCTAAATCTCTTTGAAAATGTTTTCAAGTTTCTAGTCTGTGCTTGAACATTCTAACTTATCTCTGAAACTATAACAGGAGATTACACTGAAATGCCCATTACACCTCAGAATTATGCCAACAGAAGAGTGGGTCCAAAAATTTATAACGCTTGCTTAAGCAGATCAATACTCTGTGGCCATTCATTGAATTGTTGAACAGTTTTTACCATTAGCATATCGTTAGAATTTCCAAAGAAATGAACAAATATTTTAAAACGTTTAAGTGAGGTTTTCAGTGGTGCTGAGGCTCAGCACTTCTCTCACGGTCACCTCCATCTGAAAGTACACAGTGTTCAGCTCCCGTCTGAGCTTGATTTTCTCACTCAGCTCTTTCACAAGGTCAGAGACCGTGGAAGACCGTGTCGTCAGACACCTAAACCCAACCAGGTAGGACTACACTGTAAATTAGCTTAGATAGACTCAGACAAGTCAACCAATATCATAACTGAGAGAGTCCGGCTTCCATAAAGGGATTTTTACTAGTAGTTAGTGACGAGATACATATTATGAGATACCTCAATGTGAAAGAGTTTACACAGAGTTCGTGATTGGATTCTTCTTTTGGAGTTTCCATATTTCACATTCACTTTCTTACCAGTAGTTGGGAAAGAAAATGAAAGGGTTCTCCAAGAAATTTTAAAAATGAGTATTTTAAAAGCAAATTTTCAAAATTAGTATATAAATGACAAAATCTAAGAAAAAAACTACACAGAAAGCCGCTTTAGAGACAGGTATTCCTGAATACACAGCTGTCACAGAAACTCGTATTTCTAACTCAGACGTATCTATTCTAAGATAAATTTCTTTTCAGTTAGAATGCGGTCCTTAACATTGCATGCAAACTGTTTCTTCCATAGATTAAACATGAGACGTCTTCTCTAAAGTTTTTTTGTTCACTTTAAAATCATAGTTATGCACACAGAGCTAGAAACACACACCACACACACAGAGAGAGAAGAGAGAGAGAGAGCTGGAGAGAGAGACCCTTCATCCGCTGGTTCACTCCACAGATGACTGTGCTGGACTGGCTTGGCTAGGCCAAGGTCAGGAGCCAGTAATTCCATCTGGGTCTCCCTCATGGGTGTCGTGGAAGCAAATACTTGAGCCATCATCTGCTACCTTCCCAGGCACATTTGCAGGGAGCCGGATCCAAAGTGGAGGTGGGGCTGAAGCATGCTCCAGGACCAGGCTAACCTGCTGCGCACTTCACCTGCCCCAGATACAGCTTTTGCAGCAGAAAGGCTGTAGGCTACAATACCTGAATTGAAAGCAACAGCCTTTTCTTTTCTGGAACCATTGTCCCAAGCACAGGACATGTCACTGATCTATGCTCTGAGTTCCTGGGGTAATGGCATCTTTAAAGGAAAAAGCAATCGATTCATGGTAAGCGACCTCCGGCTAATTCTCCAATTAGTTGACGATTTGGATGTGGAATGTGCCCTAAGTGTTGTGTGGAGTGTGAAATTCAGGCAGGGAAGGTGCCCACCTGTGATATTGTCAAGAAAGCAGATGGCTGAGAAAATACAGTTTCTGCAATTATTTCACAGTTGAAACTCATTTTAGTCAATGTAGTATTTTATTAAAATTTAGTTCTTAAAATTTGCGTTAGGAAAATCATACAAGTATTTTCATTTTTCTGTTATAATTTACCAAGTTTATTGGTAGACATTCACATTATTACCAAAGCATGAAAGAGAAATAATGTGGTCCTTGTAATCTGCTATATGAATGCAAAACTGTGATTGTTGAAATGCAACTTTAATACATTTACATTTAGAATACCTTGCACAGTACAATAATTGTTTGTATAATGTGTATATTCATAATTAAAGTGTCTTTGCAGATATAAACAGCAGCTTGCACATAACATTAAAACAGAAATAAATACAATGTTTTTAAAGATGAACTCTCTATTACTCAAGATAAAAATAAAAGAGAAAATTGTAAAAAGATTTATGTATGTAATTGAAAGGCATAATGACAAAAAGAAAGGGAGAGGGCTCTTCCATCCACTGGTTCACTACCAAATTCCTGCATCAGCTGGGGCTGGTCCATCCCAAAGTCAGGAGCCCAGGGCTCCATCCATCCCTCCATGCAGAGACTTGATGACTGCTTTCATTAATATTTTGTAATTTTCATTGTGCTGATTTTTCACTTCTTTGGTTAAATTTATTCCTAAATATTTGATTTTGTTGTGGCTTTTGTGAATGGAATTTCTTTCTTGATTTCTCTTTCTGTGAGTTCATTTTTGGCACATAAAAAGTTACTTTGAACAAATAATAAATAAATAAAAAAGTTATTTGAACAAATATTATTCAGATTTAAAAGAAGAAATTTTCTCATTTACAATAATACAGATAAAGCTGGCAGACATTATGCTCAGTGAACTAATCTGGTCACAGAAGAACTAAATACTGAATGATTCACTTATGTGAGGCACCTAAAGTAGCCACGCTTGTAGAAACAGAGAAGACAATAGCAGTGATCAGTGATTGGGAGAGGGGAAAATGTGGAGCTGACCTGATAGGAAGTTTCAGGTTG